AGCTGGAACTACAGGCATGTGCCACCATGCCTGGCTAATTTTTTGATTTATTGTAGGGACGAGGTCTCACCATGTTGCCCAGGCTGGTCTTAAACACCTGTACTCAGGCAATCCTCTTGCCTTGGCCTCCCAAAGTGCTGGGATTATAGGCATGAGCCATCACATCTGGCTTTTATACGATTTCTTTCTTCTTTTTTTTCTGTTTTCTCTATTTCTGAATATCTCATCTGCTCCTATAATTTTCTATAATAGGTAGGGCATAGGCAGAGGAGACGTTTGGCAGAAGATCATTAGCTTTGTTTTGAACTTGTTGAACTTGAGATGCCTGTGGAACATCCGAGAGGAATATCAAGTGAGAAACTAGATAAAAGGTTGGTCGCTGAGAGCGGAGACAAGCTTGGAGCTTGTCCATATGGAGTACAGTTTGAGGAAGGAAGAGAGGAGGATGCAATTCACTGAGGAAATGACCCTGAAGAGCAGAGACTAAGGGCAGGGCGCATCAGGGAACTCTGGTAAGAAAAGGACTGATCTGGACCCTTGTGACTTAGCAACTCGAAGTCGCTGATGACCGAGGAGAGAGCAGTGTCAGAGGGGAGGTGGGGGTAGAGGCTGACATCAACAAGAATGGCAGCCCTTTGAAGAAGTGGAACCGTGTGAAACACGGAAGAGAGCTGAGGGCACAAGGAAGGGTCATTTTTGTTTCTGTTTTTTTCCAGAAAGGAGAGTCTTCAGCAACCAAATTTAGGCTCTAGTTCAAAATGGTTTGGGATGCCAGAAAGACCCCTGATGAGAACAAAGATTCTGCTCCTGGCAGCCCTGGCCAGAGAGGAGAAAAAGCCCTGTGGAGATGTTTTCCCCTCTCCCTTCCCAGACCAACACTGCAGGTTTTATCTGAACTCGCTCTGCTCAACGTCTGTCACTAGCTTCACTGCAGTGGGGGATGTCACCTGACAGGGAACAAGGCCACTAGCTCTAGAAAGCCTTTTGCTGCCCCTGGCTCCTCCTCATTCCCTGGGGCTAGAAACACCTCCAGCACGAGTGTGATGACTTCATTCTGCTCGTGCTGGGAGGGAGACGCAGAAAGGGTCACGTACTGTCTAGACTGCTTGTCCAGTTGATCCTGAGGGAGACTGTGGGGCAGCTGGCAGGCCTGCAGAGACAGGTCCAAGGCAGGAAGAAGAGCTCCCTGGGCAGCAGGACCCCACCGCAGAACTGGGCCTTTCCCCCACCAGCAGCCAAAAGATGTCTTCTACCTACCTGCAAGATGGAGATTTTTGGCGGAAAGGAAGCTATGTTTTGGATTAAGTGGTGACTGTCTAGGGAGAGGAGGGAAATGAAAGAGAAGAGAGGTGATCCCGATTTCCTAAGGTGGGATAGAATACTAAATAAGGTCCCTGTGGCCAATATGACCTCATAGTCCAGAAACCCATCCGGGGTCTGCAGTATGTGAGATGGCAGAAGAACAGAACAAGTAACTCAAGGCAGCATGGCGGTGGAAGGGTGAGGGAAGCCCTGTGAAGGCCTACTATGTGCCAACTATGAGGCAACTCAAAGCAACTGAGGTAGATATAAGTGTCTCCACTTCACAGACAGGCACACTGAGGCTGGGAGATCTTGGCTACTTGCCCAAGGTCACACACCTACAAAGAGGCAGATGTAACTCTCAGCCACCAGGCAGGTAGCCAAGGTCTTGCCATGACCCTGAGGAAGTTTGCCTTGGGTGCAGCCCTGGAAGCTTGTCTTTTTCTCTTCAGGGCAGCCTGCATCCCTGCTACAGATTGAATGTCTGTGTTCTCCCAGAATTCAAGTACTGAAACCTGATCCCACGGTGATGGTTTTGGGAGGTAAGGTTTTTGGGAGGTGATTAGATCATGAGGGTGGAGGTCTCATGAATGGGATGTTGCCCTTATAAATGGGGTCCCAGAGAGCTCCCACCATGTGAAGACACATATAGGAAGTGGGCCCTCTCAGACCCACGCTGATCTTGGACTTCAGTCTTCAGAACTATGAGAAATACATTTCTGTTGTTTATAAGCCACCTACGGTTTTCATCACAGCCTCCTGGGACTAAGACAATCTCCTTCAAGGAAGAGCCAAGGGAGTCCTGACCACTGCCTTGTAGAAATAGCTTTGTAGGCTGGTCCTGCTAGAACCGTAACTCAAGGAAGAAGGAACTTCTGGTTCTCAGAGTGTGGTCTCTGGGCCAGCAGCATCATCTGAGAATTGGTTAGAAATGTCTATTTTGAGCCCACCCCCAGATGTTTGGATCCAGTAGGTCTGGGATAGGGCCTGAGATTTTGACCTTTCCAGATGTTGTTGGTGCTACCAATCTGGACACCACACTGAGAACCACTGCTCTGGAGTTTAGACTGTACCCTCTGAGCAAACTTAATCACCTTGCCAGGAAACAGGCTTTGAAGGCAGGTCCAAACCCACTAAGGACATGGTCTGCTCCCTCTTCTCCCTGAAGGGAGTTGAGTCAGGCCTCTCGATGACTTCGTAAGGCTGTCTGGGCAAACGCCCATGTCTCCATGCCCTAAGGCACAAACACTGTAGTCAGTACCCTGTCACTAGTTCCAGGCCACAGTGAATCACAAAAAAACCAAAGCTGGAAGATTCCTCAGAGACAACAACTACAGTATGCACTGCACCAGCAATATCACCAAAACGCAGAAGCCAGATTAGCTGACTTCCTGGCTGTTCCCTGGATATACCTCCTGATTTCCTGTTTGTGCAATTCCTTTACCCAGAATGGCTTCATCACTCTGCCCCTCATTCCTGTCTCTGCCTGGATGCCACATTCTCCACAGATATCTCCTGCCTCAACTGTCCCATCTTCCTCCTTTCAATCATCCCACTTCAGTCAACCCTTAATTCCCATTTCCTCCCCTGAAAATCATGTGTACTAAGGTTACCATTGGCCCCCTTCATTACCAAATCCAAAGGCACCTTTCAGTCCTTATCTTATTTGATCTTTGTGTGCATGTGCAAAATTTAGCACTACTGACCACTGGGGATTACAGAATCTGCAACAGCCAGATACTCCGAAACCCTAGGGGAGATAAAGACATTTTCTTCACTCTAGGGGTTCCTCGGAGAAAAAGTTTGAGCAGCACTGCTGAGCTTAGCATGGGTTCATGTTCCAGAGACTGGAACGATCGTGAAAGAATGAGTGGGTGTGCTCCCGGGTCAGCCAGATCCAAGAAGGATGCGGGGGCTGGAGGGGGGTGATCATGTGGATGGAAAGTTACTAGAAGGGAGATGAAGCCAAGGTGGAATGACTAATCCAGCTGATACGGCCAGGAGATGGCTGCCACGTCAACTGCACTGGACTCCAGGCCCAGGGCAGGCTGAGGACTGAAGAAGTTGCAGGGAGAGACTCTGCTTTCTCCAGAAGAGAGCAGCTGGACCATGCCCGTCAGGAAGCTGCTTGGATTCTGAAAATCTGGGTAAGCTCAGAAGACTTGCCCAGGCTGAAACTGGCCAAAGGTCTTGGACTAGGTCCACATGATTCAGGGAAAGAACAGAGAGAACCTTCTGAGTCTTCTATTTAGCTCAGCATTCAACAAAGCCACCCGCACCTTGAGGGCAAGTCCCAAGCATGTTTGCATGTGTGTGTGTGTGTGTGTGAGACATGGGGGGGGGAGTGTATGAATAAAATTTTGTGATTAGCGAGTCTTGTGAGAAAGGGGATTCTGTGACCTCGCAGCATTTATCTTGGGTCCTCCTTCATCTGGCCTGGCATTGCTAAGGACGCCAGCAGCCAATGCACTGTCCAGGAATCTGTCCAAAGTACAGTGCCTCTGGGGGCCAAGGAACTGCTAGTGCTTGACTGGGAAACGCTGAGGCTTGTTAATGATGAACCCACCTCGCTGTCATTTCTTACCTAACAGAACATACAATCTCCAGGTCTTCTGTAACCATTAATGCGTTTTTAAATGATCATTATTGTTATTGGGGAGGCTTTTTGTATTCGGAGGAGAAACACGATGCCACTGATTTCTGCTTATAGTTTGAGAAAGAAAACACCCCTTAAACAGAAGTCTAGAGACAGGGTCTAGCTCCAACCCTGCCTCAACTCACTGGGCCAGTGCAGCCAACTCACCGCCCCTCCCTGGGACTTGGTTGGACCATCTGCCATACAAAGGGGAGGTCCAAAGACCACTGAGCTCCCTCCTCCTACTAACAGTCTAGGAATTTGTGGTTCTAAAGGGTGACCGGGGAGAGATGCAAACAGTAGGTATGGGCACATCCTTCCCGAAAGGGAAGAAAGATGGAGGAAACACAGCTAACCGTGGCCAGGGAGCAGACACAACAGCAAGCCTCGCGATATGTTCAGAGGTGGAAGGGGAGTAAGGCGGGGCGGGGGCTCTGGCAGGCAGCAGCTACTGGGCCTGTGAAGCATTTCTTCTCCTGCTTTTTGGGCTAATGAGACTTCTTTTTTTTTTTAATCAATATTTTTTATTTTGATATTGTGGGGTACAGTTTAGGGTTAGGTATACAAATATGCTTCGTTCAGACACCCTTGTTGATAAGGGGTATCTCCCCGTCCCCAGACAGATATTGACTACCGTTAATCCCACCTCCCTTCCCCCCCCCATAGTTTCCCACCACTGTCAGTCTTTTTTTTATAGTATTAAGGTGGATGTTCAAGGTCCGCTATATGAGTGAGAACATGTGATACTCAGATCTTAATGAGACTTCTGTTGCCTGCTGGAACTGTCCAGCTGAACTATGCCCTGCACCTTGGATAACCGGCACGCTCTCACCTCTATGCTTTGTCCATGCCATTTCCTCATCCTGCATAGCTCCATGTGCCCAAATCCTTTCTGTCCTGAACTCTGTGCAAAATGCCTTCTTGTCCCTTGTTATAGGAACAATTTCTCCCGATAGGCACTCCCCAGTTCCTTTTCTTTGTACCTTTTTCTTTTAAAAAATTTTTAACTTAAAAATAATTTTTTTAGAGATAGGGTCTTGCTATGTTGCCCAGGCCAGTCTTAAACTCCTAGCCTCAAGTCTCCCACCTTAGCCTCCCAAGTAGCTGGGACTATAGGCATGTGCCACCATGCCTGGCTAATTTTTAAAATTTTTTGTGGAGATAGAGTCTCACTATGTTGTTCAGGCTGGTTTTGAACTCCAGGCCTCAAGCAATCCTCCTGCCTCAGCCTGCAAAACTGCTAGGATTATTGGCATACCCGGCCTGTACCTCTCTTATTGCATTTGAATCTAGCTGCCTGGGAGGTTGAATTGCAGTGTTTCGTGTTTGTTTTTTAGTGTGAGAAGCTGTTGGAGCTTCTCTGTCTGGAACAAAAAGTCACCCTAAAGCAGATATTTACTACTCTTCCCTGAAACCCTGGAGAGCCTCCCTATTTGGTTATGTAAATATAAAGGAGCAATCCCCCACTGCCCTAAGGGAATGGTGTTAGGGAACCTTTGGGGGACTGACAGAGGCTGCCCCTACCAATATTCTCCCTATGTAGAACTGGTCTCAGAAAACATGATGGACAAATCTGTCAAAGGGACAAAAAGACTTCTGAGAAGACAGTAGCCTGGTTCCCTTCCTTTCCTCTTAGGGCCAACATTGTTGCTAGAACCCCTCAGATGAACTGGAAATTCCCCAGAGTCTGTGGGCATGATGCTGAGACTTCAGTGGGAACTCAACAGTTGAGGTCAGGGTCAAGGATAGGTAGGATACTCAGGACTTGTGTGACCTGACACACCAACCCAGAAGTCTGTGGCCAAGCTCATGGATTAGGTCAAAAATCTCCTGGGTGGGGAGGTTCTGGGAACAGTGGCCAGAGTAATGAATGACACAAAGCAGAAATCTTCAGAACTTGCACATAGGGTCTTGTATCACAGCCCCATGGTAAGGTGGTCCGGGAAATACCAGAGTGGACAGCACTGGTTTCCTGGGCAAGTGAGACCACAGGTCTCTTTCTCTGCCTGGCCAGTGGGGATTAACCCTGGAGTGAGCCTCAGGGTCTTAGGCAATTTGGATGTGAGGCAGGCAGAGCAGGATTACCCTTGAGTTCTTACTAAACAAGGCATTTGGGTGCTTGAGCAATTAACTGGAGAAAGAAGAAATACAACCACAGCTCTGCCCAGAACAGTGAAGCAGTCACAGCTGCCCTGTGTTAAATGAGGGTTAGGGCTCTCTCCTTAGGCAATAGAGTTTTGAAACAGAACAGTATCTTTATCTCAATTTCCTCCATAATATTTTACAGAGCAGTAAATGTGCAATAGATTTTTATTGTAGGGAAAGAGAGGAAGAGAGAGAATGCTGTCCACTAGTCTAGGAGAAGTCAGAGGAAGGAGCTATATTTTGCAACTGGACTAATAAGGGCAGATTTCCTGGGAGAGGTGGCCTGGGGGGAGCATCCCAGGGGATCATTTGAGCCTAAGGATTCCTGGAAACTGTTTTGTTTTTTTTTGAGTTGGAGTCTCACTCTGTCACCCAGACTGGAGTGCAGTGGCTGCTCCCGGCCACCGCAGCCTCGACCTGCTGGGCTTCGGCGATCCTTCCGCCTCAGCCTTCCAAGTAGCCAGAATTATAGGCACGTACTACCACACCCGGCTAATTTTTTTATTTATTGTAGAGATGAGGTCTTGCCAAGTTGCCTAGGCGGGTCTTGAACCTGCGGGCTCAGGCACTCCGCTCACCTCAGCCTCCCAAGGCGTGGGATTACAGGCTGAGCCACCGAGCCTGGCCGGAAACTGTTTCTTTTTTTTTTTTTTGAGTTGGAGTCTCACTGTCACCCAGACTGGAGCGCCTTGACCTGTTGGGCTCCGGCGATCCTTCTGCCTCAGTCTTCCAAGTAGCTGGAACTACAGGCGCGTGCTACCACGCCCGGCTAATTTTTTGATTTATTGTAGAGATGAGGTCTCACCTGCCCAGGCAGGTCTCGAACCCACGGGCTCAGGCAATCCACTCACCTCAGCCTCCCAAAGGCGTGAGATTACAGGCTGAGCCACCGAGCCCGACTCGGAAACTGTTTCTTATAGGCCCAGAAGTCCCTACAGCATGTCAGGGGCTAAGGTCACAGCAGGAGCCATCCCTGTGACCTCTGCTCTCTAGCCCCTCACTTCTTGTCCTCAGCCTCTCAGCAATTTGGGAGTTCATATAATTTGGGAGTTCATCTCTAAGGAAAGCAATGCAGAAATAGCTCACTTTTGCAAATTTTACAAAATATAGCAAAAACATATTACCAAGCAAACATACTGCTTAAGCTTAAGCTTCTATAGCTTTCCCATAATGGCCTCTGCCCCCAGGACTCCCCACACCGTGCCTGGCCCAGACTCCCCACTAGCTGGAGGCACCAGGCACTGGCTGCTAAAGAGCTCTTGGCCTGTGAATTGAGCTGACCTGAAAGGCAAAGACGGTCGTGGTCAGTTGCTCCCCAAACACGAAGCCGGAGCCGTGTGTGGTGTAACTCAGGAAGGTCTGAAAGAACAAAACAAGAACACGGTGAGAGGCTAGGAAGGGAGGAGGGAGGAAGCAGTGGGCCCAGGGATGGTGCCTTTTGGTCCCCTAGGCCCTTATGGGGTGGGCACCACCTGACAAAGTGTGTTTAAGCTACAGTCATGGGGGCTTGCTTCTGAGCACATTCTCCAAAGAGACACCTTTTTGATTACTTCTACAGAAGTTGACTGGGCATGGTGACTCATGCCTGTGATTTCAGCACTTTGGGAGTCTTAGGCAGGAGGATTGCTAGAGTCCAGGAGTTTGAGACCAGCCTGGGGGCAACATAGTGAGATCCCAACTCTACAAAAAAAAAAAAAACAAACCAACAGCTGGGGTGGTGGGTTTACACCTGTACTCCCAACTACTCAGGAGGTTGATGCAGGAGGATCACTTGAGCTCCAAAGTTGGAGGCTGCGGTGAGCAATAGAGTGAGATTCTGACTAAAAAAAAAAAAAAAATTTAAAGAGAGTTTTTAGAACAATAAAGAAAAGACAACAGAGGAAGCAAGACCATGAGATGTGTGGAGAAGGCTGTCCAGGATGGTGCCTTTTGTGTCTGCTCGGTTACCTGACAACTCATGACACAGCTTCCCCTTTTCTTATCCCTATCCCAGAATCGTGCCCTTGATGCTTGAATCCAGTCACACTTCTACAGTAGATCTATGAATAGATCCTGAACATGCATTGTGACTGCAGGGACAAGTTACTTCTCTTGTAACTTCTCTTGTCCAGTCCACAGTGTTCCCATCTATAAAATGGGGACGTGGCCGGGCGCAGTGGCTCATGCCTGTGATCCTGGTACTTTGGGAGGCAGAAGCAAGAGGACTGCCTGAATCCAGGGGCAACTTGGTGAGACCTCATCTCTACAATAAATCAAAAAATTAGCTGGGCGTGGTGGCATGTGCTTGTAGTTCCAGCTACTTGGAAGTCTGAGGCAGGAGGATCACCTGAGCCCAGAAGGTCGAGGCTGCGGTGGCCATGAACATGCCACTGCACTCCAGCCTGGACAACAGAGTGAGACTCCGACTCAAACAAACAAATAAATAGGGGACGCGACCAGAATAGCAACTCAGTCTTTCCCTCCACAATACACACACAGATATTGTTAGCGAGGCTAGCAGGTGTTCACAACCCCGGACACACAGGATTCTCCTGCTCTACCCTGCACAAAGCACATGGAAATGTGAGTTGATGAGCAGGGCTGAGTAGAGGATTAATCCTGTGTCCTTGATACCTTATACTTGAAAAGTATTAAATAAAATCTAGAGGAGGCTGTTGGTTAGGACTGAGCTCCTGCACTAGGCCCAACAGACCAAAGCAAAATGGAATCACTCATGCTAAAGTTCCACATCACCAAGCCTAAACTGTTCATCTGACCTGCTGAGAAACTGGGAGAGTGAGTGATAATAGGTAAATCTCCAAACATGGCATGAGAAGAAACCTCTCTGCCTTAACCTTTATAGTAAGGAAAGTAACTTTGAAAGAATCAATCCATTTTTTGTTTCTTGTTTCTGCTTCCACAGTCCTTTTCTGTTCTTAAAACCAATCTTCTTTCCTCAACTCATTGAAATAGTCATTCTATTTTACAGAATGGGGTGTTGCCAACTTCCAGAATCACAAATAAAAGTCAATTAAGATGTCTAAACTTAATTTGTTGTAATTTTGTCTTTTGACATAACAATATGCATGGAATTTAATGACACTTTAAAATAGTTAAAATGGTAAATTTTATGTGTATTTTACTGCAATAAAAATGGAATAAAAAAGTATAACTTCAATAAACATTATTATTATTATTATTATTTGAGTTGGAGTCTCACTATCACCCAGACTGAGTGCAGTGGCCTCTCCCGGCCACTGCAGCAGCCTCGACCTGCTGGGCTCCAGCGATCCTTCCGCCTCAGCCTTCTGAGTAGCCGGAATTACAGGCATGTGCTACCATGCCCGGTTGATTTTTTGATTTATTGTAGAGATGAGGGCTCACCAAGTTGTCCAGGCGGGTCTCGAACCTGCGGGCTCAGGCAATCCACTCACCTCAGCCTCCCAAAGTGCAGGATTACAGGCTGAGCCACCAAGCCCAGCTAATAAACATTATTATTATTAATATTTTTTTTTTGAGTTGGAGTCTCACTCTGTCGCCCAGACTGGAGTGCAGTGGCCGCTCCCGGCCACCGCAGCCTCGACCTGCTGGGCTCCGGCGATTCTTCCGCCTCAGCCTTCCGAGTAGCCAGAATTACAGGCGCGTGCTACCACGCCCAGCTGATTTTTTTATTTATTGTAGAGATGAGGTCTCGCTGCCCAGGCGGTTCTCGAACCCGCGGGCTCAGGCAATCCACTCACCTCAGCCTCCCAAAGGCGCAGGATTACAGGCTGAGCCACCGAGCCCGGCTATAAACATTATTTTAAAACACACTTACAAATATATCATTTACAGGGGTTTTTCGTTTCTTTGTTTTTGTTTTTTGAGTTGAGTGTCTCACTGTTGTCTAGGCTGGAGTGCAGCACGTGTATGTTTACCGCAGCCTTGACCATCTGGGCTCAGGTGATCTTTCTGCCTCAGCCTCCTGAGTTACTGGGAATAAAGGCACACCACCATGCCTGACTAGTTTTTTTTTTTTTTTGAGTTGGAGTCTCAGTACATCTCCCAGGCTGGAGTGCAGTGGTACGTTCACGGCCACCCCAGCGTCGACCTGCTGAGCCTGAGCGATCCTTCTGCCTCAGCCTTCCAAGTAGCTGGAACTACAGGCAAGCGCTATCATGCCTGGCTAATTTTTTTATTGACTTAGTGTAGAGATGAGCTCTCACCAAGTTGCCCAGGCTGTTCTTGAACGCGTGTGCTCAGGCAACTCTTACCTTGGCCTCCCAAAGTGCTGGGATTATAGGCTTGAGACACTGTGCCCGGCCCCGGCTAATCTTTAAAATTTTTTTTGTAGAGATGAGGTCTTGCTGTGTTACCTTGGCTGACCTTAAACTCCTGGGCTCAAATGATCCTCCTGCCTGAGGCTCCTAAAGTGCTGGGATTATAGGTGTGCGCTACTGTGCCTGGCCTACAGGGCTTTTTTGTTTTGTTTTGTTTTTAGTACTTTTAACTATTATTATTATTATTATTTGAGTTGGAGTCTCACTCTGTCACCCAGACTGGAGTGCAATGGCCGTTCCCAGACCGCAGCCTCGACCTGCTGGACTCCGGCGATCCTTCCGTCTCAGCCTTCCAAGTAGCTGGAACTACAGGCGCACGCTACCACGCCTGGCTAATTTTTTTTTTTTTTTTATTGTAGAAATGAGGTCTCGCCAAGTTGCCCAGGCGGGTCTCGAACCCGTGACTTTTAACTATTATAAGTCCCAAATCACTGATGACTACTTGCAGGCCACATGCCAAGGTGTCCAGGTACCCTGAGAACATCCTTGTCTGGGATTCTCTCTCACAGGCAGGCCCAGCCTCTGAAAGGATTACTCTGTCTGGGTCAGTGGTACCAGGCCTAAGAGAAGAGGTAGCTACACTGCCCAGCCCTCAGCTGCCCCCCTGATCTGGGGCCCCAGTCCACACCCACCCTCCTGGTGCCAGGCCTTCTCTATGGCCTCACCAACCACCTTCCCCCCAGCCAGGTATCTTCTCCCCAACTCTTGGTAACACAGGATGCTCTGGGCAGCCAGTCACCACATACACACCTGGATCTGGTCGCCCAGCCACTGGAACGCAATGAATCCTGGCTCTGTTCTGATGACAAAGAGTCCAAGTACAAACTGCAGTCCAAGGCCCCAAGACACAGCCCGCCAGGACACCTGTCACCCCATGAGATAGAAAGGTCCTGGTGAGCTCAACTCCTTGGGGGATCAGCAGGTAGCAAGGTAGGGTGAGGGCAGAGGACCCAGGACTGTTGGGGATGGGTGGGAGCTTGGGCCTGCCTATAGGATAAGGGCTGGGCCCAGCCAGATCCCTGGGCCTATCACCATTGGTTATACCCATCCTGGGATTCAAAATAGGCAACAATGGACTGGACCATGCACAGGGGTGGAGCAAGATTCTAACCAAGAACCCGTGTGAAACTTGACCAGCCATGGGCATGACATGGCACTTTGTCCCTGGATCATCACCGGGTGCAGGGAGTCAGAGTTGTGGCCCAGAGGTCTGGCCTTGGAACTTCAGTGCCAGCTTGCAGGGCCCAGCTCTTCTCCAGCCAAGGGTAACCCCATCTGCCTGACCCTCCCCATCTCTCCTCCACAGGCTGGGATCCCAGATACCCTGATCCCCCTCCCTCTGTGTCCCCCACCCCCAGCAGAGGAGAGCTGGGTGCCTTGGGGCTGCTGTTCCCTTCAGCACTTAGCAGTGATTCCTAAGCTCGGGTGTGCATCAGAGGCTTCTGGGAGGCTTGGCTGTAGCCTCAGGAAGGTAGTAACCATACTGAGACAGGGAGGGGTCCTGATACCATGGAGGCAGAGAGTGAGAAGGGTCCATCTGCCCATTCCAGCAGGGCCAACCAGGGCAGGTGGGTAGGGCCCTCCTGAATGGGCAGATGAATGCTCTAGTCTAATCAGAATGGTCCAGAGAGCTGGTTGGAAAGAAGATGCTGATCCTACCCTGGGTTTTCTAGGGTGGGTCTGAGAATTTGCATTTCTAAGTTCCGAGGAGACACTGATGCTGCTGGTCTGGGAGCAAACTTGAAGAACCATCATAAGCTCATGATTCCAGGAAAGCCTCGGCTCCTCAGATAGACTCTGAAGCTCCAGCTCTGACTTCTCCAGGCGGGGGAGAGGTGGTTTCTGAGCCTGAAGACCTGAGGACCAGGCTTAGACTGACCACTGGATGTGTCGCCAAGGAAACAAATGCCCAGTAGCCTCTGAGTTTGGACAGACATCTAGCCAGGTCTCTCCAGGCAGCACCCCCTGCCCCACTGGGGAGTTTGAGGACTTCTGCTAAGAGAGGTGATGGCCCACTCTGAGTCTCTGGTCCTGGGCCCTCCCTCCTCAGCCCTACAGGGAGCTTGTCCTGATATGCACCGGTCTTCCCCAGGCTCTGAGCTTCCAGGGCTCCCAATGGGAGTATCTGCCCCTGATTCAGCCTAGGGACAGAAGAGAGAGAGGCATCCACTGGCATCTAGTCCTGGGTCTGACGGCCAAGCACTCACTGCATGGTGATGCTTCGAGCAGGCAAAGAGGAAGATGATGAACACACAGATGCCTGCAAAGGACACCAGTTGCTCAGGCCGCCGTCCGGTGTCCAAAGACAACCACAGGATCAGACTCAGGACAGCAGCAACAGCAAGGCCCCTGCAGGGAAGGGCAGAAAGTTATCACTCTTGGTATCCTGCCTCCCTCTGCCCCCACACACAATAGCACCCAGGGCTCCAGAGAAAGGGTGCTCAGGGCGAGGAGGAGAGAAAGAGCATAGTACAGTGGAAGGATCCAGATGCTGGGAAGTACTGATCTAACTGTGTGGCTTCAGACACACCACCTAGCCTCTCTGAGTCTGGTTTCCTCATTTCTCAAATGAAGTCAAAGATCTTCCGTTTCTCAAGGTTGCTTGAGAGGTGAGATAAGAATGTGTGTACCAAGCTTAGCATGGTAACAAGCACATGGCTCCATGTAGGCACAGGAATCTCACGGCTATAGTGTTGCTCAGCCCAGTCTCTGCCCCTGGAGAAGGTGGGGCCTGTGCAGCCCAAGACTCAGCACTATAGGCATGCCTGCCAAATGCCCGGAAGCCATAATGTCAGCCTGGAACGTTGAGCCGAGCACCTGAGACCAAGGACTGGATCCAACTTTGGCAATAACACTTTCCTCCCTGAGGCTGGGGTTTGCTTGTCCAGGAGGCAGCCTGAAGGGTGGGAGAGCCCAAGTCTGGGCATCAGGTGCTCAAGGTCTAGCCCCAACTTAGTCATCAACTCACTGGCACTACCAATAACAGTGAGCATTTATTGAATAGCTACTATGTGCCAGGTACTATGCCAAGTGCTGAGAGAAATACTGTTACTGTCTTTAATTATAGAGATGAGGAAACGGAGACACAGAGAGGTTAAATAACTGGCCCAAGGCCACCCATCTAGAAAGTGGCAGAGCTGAGATTTTAACCCAGGCACTCTGGCAGCATGATCTATTAACTACATTTTTATCCAGACCAATCACCCAACTGGTGAGAACGGGACTCAGGACCTGAACTCAAGCAAGTTAACACCAGAATCTAATGTTTTATGTACACCCATAAGATGTTTCCAAGCGTCTGTCATCCCAGTTCCCAATGCACAATTTGTGCTATGTCTTTGTGCCATCTGGTCATCTCTTTACTATTTTTCCTGAAGTTAATTCACTTTATAGAAACTTAAATGCATAGTTTTGTTTATTTTTAACAGCTTAGATGTATGATTGATATATAATAAGCTGTATATAGTGAAGGAGTTCAGTCTGATAAGTTTTGACACCTGTATGCGCCTTGAAACAATCACCACAATCAAGATGGCAAACACACCCATTACCCCAAAAGTTTCCTTGTGCCTCTTTGTGATTACTTACCTCCCTCCCTATTCTCAGGCAAGAACAGATCTATTTTCTATTGCTAGATTAGTTTATATTTTTAAAGATTTTATATAAACAGAAACTTACAGTACATATTCTTTTTTTGTCTGACTTCTTTCACTCTAATTATTTATCTATGTTTTTGTATGACTCCATAGAACATTCCTTTTTATTGCTGACTAGTATTCCATTGTATGTATAAACCACAATTTGCTTATTTGCCTGCTTTTTGTTTGTTTGCTTGTTTTTGAGACCGGGTCTTGCTCTGTCACCCACGCTGGAAAGCAATGGTGCCGTCATAGTTCATTGTAGCATCAAACTCCCGGGCTCCAGTGATTCTCCCACCTCAGCCAACTGAGTAGCTGGGACTACGAGCGCACCACCTGGCTAATTTTTAAAATTATTTTTTGTAGAGACAGGATCTCCCTATTTTGCCCAGGTTGGTCTCAATCTCCTGGCCTCAAGTGATCCTTCCACTTTAGCCTTCCTAAGCTGGACTTTCACTTGCTGATAGACATTTAGGTGGTTTCCAGTTTTTTGGCTATTACAGATAAAGCCGCTGTGAACATTCAAACATTCATGTGCAGGTCTTTGTATGAATATGTTTTTATTTCTTTTAGGTAAATACTTATAAGTGGCGGGTAGATTATACGGAAGGTCTAACTTTTTAAGAAATTGCCAGTCAGGTGCAGTAGCTCAGCCTGTAATCCCAGCATTTTGGGAGGCCAAGGCAAGAGGATTATCTGAGCCTAGGAATTCGAGACCAGCCTGGGCAACTTCGTGAGACCTCATCTCTACAACAAAAATCACAAAAACTAGCTGGACATGGTGGCGTGCATCTGTAGTTCCAGCTACTTGAAAGGCTGAGGCAGAAACATTGCCTAGGCTGCAGTGGCCGTGAGATAGCCACTGTACTCCAGCTTGGGTGACAAAGAGTGAGACTCCAACTAAAAAAACAACAAAAACCTGCCAACCTGTTTTCCAAAGTGATTGCACACTTTTGCATTCTCACCATATCCTCGCCACCAGTTGGTATGGTCAGTCTTTTGAATTCCAGTAGGTATCGAGTAGTAGCTCTTTTTGGTTTTAATTTGCATTTCCCTAATGATAAATGATGCTGTGCATCTTACCATATGCTTACTTGCCGCTTATATATCTTCTTTTTTTTTTTTTTTGAGTTGGAGTCTCACTCTATCACCCAGGCTGGAGTGCAGTGTCACGCTTACAGCCACCGCAGCCTTGACCTACTGGGCTCAGGTGATCCTTCCACCTCAGCCTTCCAAGTAGCTGAAACTACAGGCATGGGTCACCACGCTTGGCTAATTTTTTTTAATTTATTGTAGAGATGAGGTCTCACCAAGTTGCCTGGGTTGGTCTCCAACCCCTGGGCTCAGGCGATCCTCTCACTGCAGCCTTCCAAAGTGCCAGGATTATAGGCGTGAGACACTGCGCCCTGCCATGTATCTTCTTTAATTAAATGTCTGTTTAAGCTGGGCTCAGTGGCTCAGCCTGTAATCCCGTGCTTTGGAAGACCGAGGTGAGTGGATTGCCTGAGCCTGCGGCTTCAAGACCTGCCTGGGCAACTTGGCGAGACCTCATCTCTACAATAAATTAAAACAACAACAAAAAAATTAGCCGGGTGTGGTAGCGCGCGCCTGTAGTTCCAGCTACTTGGAAGGCTGAAGTGGAAGGATCGCCAGAGCCCAGCAGGTCGTGGCTGCGGTGGCCGGGAGCGGCCACAGCACTCCAGTCTGGGTGACAGAGTGAGACTTCAACTCAAAAAAAAAAAAAAGTCTGTTTAAATCTTAAGCCTATTCTTAAGTTGGGTTGTTTATCTTATTAATGAGTTATGAATGGTCTTTATATATTCTGGATACAAGTGCTGGGTCCAATGGGTGATTTGCAAAATGTTTCCCCTTGCCGTGGCTTGTCTATTTATTCTCTTAAGTGTCTTTTGAAGATCAGAAGTTCTTAATTCTGATGAAGTTCAATTTATCCATTTTTTTATGGATTGTGATTTTGGTTTGTATCTAAGAAATCTTCACTTAACTCAAGGTCACAAAGATTCTCTCTCTCTCTCTCTCTCTCTCTCTCTCTCTCTTTTTTTTTTTGATTCTGGGGTCTCACTCTCACTCTGCTACCCAGACTGGAGTGCAGTGGCAAGATAATGGCTCACCACAAACTCAACCTTCTGGGCTCTGGTGGTCCCTCTGCCTCAGTCTCCTGAGTAGCTGGGACTGCAGGTGCGCGCTACCACACTTGGCTAACTTTTTAATGTTTTTGTAGAGATGAGGTCTCACTGTGTTGCCTAGGTTGGTCTTGAACTCCTGGACTCAAGTGATACTCTAGTCTTGGCCTCTCAAAAAACTCGAATTACAGGTATGAGCCACCACACCAGCCATGTCTCCTATTTTTTTTTTTAAGTTAGAGTCTCACTCTGTTGCCCAGGTTGGAGTGCAGTAGCATACACACAGCCATCACAGCCTCAACCTGTTGGGCTCAGTTAATTCTTCCACCTCCGCCTTCCAAGTAGCTGTAACTATAGGCAAATGCTACCATGCCCAGATTTTTATTTATTTATTTTCTTATTTATTGTAGAGACAAGGTCTCACCAAGTTTCCCAGGTTGGTCTGGAACCCATGGGCTCAGGCAATCTTCTCATCTCGGCCTCCCAAAGTGCTGGGATTACAGGCTTGAGCCACTATGCACAGCTCACACACTTACTTTTAATTGATGTTTTAGGCCATTTACATTTAATGTAATTAGTGATATGGGTGGGTTGAGATCTACCATCTTTCATTTATTTTCTATCTGCCAGCTGGGTGTGGTGGCCCACACCTGTAATCCCAACCCTTTGGGAGGTAGAGGTGAGAGAATCATATAAACCCAAGAGTTTGAGATCAGCTTAGTCAACTTAGCGAGAACTCGCCTACAATAAATAAAAAAAAATTAGCCTGCAGTTCCAGCTACTTGGAAGACTGAGGCAGAAGGATCACCTGAGTCCAGCAGGTCAAGGCTACAGTAGCCATGAGCGTGCCACTACACTCCAGCCTGGGCAATGGAGTGAGACTACAACTCAAACTAACTAACTAAATAAATTTTTCTATTTGTCCATCTGTACTTTATTCTCCTTTTACTATTTTTCTACCATCTTTGTTAATAATTATTTGTTGTGTTATTTTAGTGATTGCTTTAGAATTTATAGTATACATCTTTATCTTTTTACAATATACCTTCAACTGATGTTATACTACTTCACATATAGTATAAAACCCTTACAGTTATTATTTATTTCTACATATAATGAAAATTCCACAATACATTATTATCATTCTTGCTTTACAAGTTGATTTCATGTTTAAATTTTTTTTTTTTTAAGTTGCAGTCTCACTCTGTCGCCCAGACTGAAGTACAGTGGCCGCTCCCGGCCACTGCAGCCTCGACCTGCTGGGCTCCGGCGATCCTTCCGCCTCAGCCTTCCAAGTAGCTGGAACTACAGGCATGCGCTACCATGCCCGGCTGATTTTTTTATTTATTGCAGAGATGAGGTCTCGACAGTTGCCTAGGCGGGTCTCGAACCCGCGGGCTCAGGCAATCCACTCACCTCAGCCTCCCAAAGACGTGGGATTACAGGCTGAGCCACCGAGCCTGGCTAAATTTTTTAAAAAGAAAAATAACCATTATATTTATTCATGTAGTTACCATTTTCAGTGTTCATTATTCCTTTGTGTAGAACCAGGTTTCTATATGGTATCATT